CACACACACACACACACACACACACACACACACACACACACACACACACACACACACACACACACACACACACACACACACACACACACAAAAAATCATCTAAGACCTGCAGTGTGAAGGTAAGCCTTACTTTATCTCCCTACTTCCTGATTCACCCCACTCCTCCCCTCATAACCTCTTGTGGCCCCTAGGGGAGGCCTGCCCCACAGTTTGAAAACCCTTGGTCTGATGTTTTAGTTGATCRTACGTCTCTGCAGGGTGTCTGTGAGCCTCTCTGCCTGGCCCTTGCCTTCCTACGCAGCTCCGCTCAATTCTTGTTTCCCTTCACTCCGTCTGGGACTTCTCCCATTGACAAGGATTTCGCTGGCAGATTTTTAGCCGGGCCAATCAGAGAACAGAAGGAGGAGTTTTGAATGACGTCAATGTTCTGCGCAGTGTCTGCTAGTTATTTTAGCATACAGCAGTGGAGGAATTGAATGAAGCCAGTCTGTGTTGATAAGGCTTCCAAATTCAAATATATTTGTCTGACAAAGCAGCAGCTCTCATTTACAGTCGTCTCGTTCGGCTCGGTATATTTATCCTCTCAGTAGGGTTGTTTACAGCACACGCGATTTCCGGTTAGCTTCTTAGCTTAGCCTCCTTCACAGCGACATACGTCGCAGCCAACTGATCCAATCATTTTAAACTTCAGCAGAGGTCACGCCTCCTGCAAGAACAGCTTTTCTATGCATCAAGTCCAGACCCTTGTATGAAGCAAAGTGAAGGACAGGGTCTGGTTTAAACCAGGCTAAGCCTCTCTGAGTATGCAGTATTTTCTCAACTGCAGTCTTCTGTCAGTGTTTTGTAATAGCCTCGCCCATTATGTTTCCACTCTTCTTTATGCTCACACTCTCTGTTGTTCTACTTTAAATCTGTCTGGCTCTTTGTACACTGTTCTTCTCATCTCCAAACTTACAAAAACAACCAATTAGAACATGCTGTGTTGTGACACAACACAACTGGCACTAAAATGCCATGTAGACAACTGGCACTTTTACAACACTTTAAATTCAGAGCAGATTCTGAATGGATTGAAACAGCATGGGGGTGAGGCTGACCCACTGCTGAGGCTCATTTGAGCCGCCAAGCAGACAGTTGGCATGAGAGAAGGTAAGCCAGCTTTGAGCCCAAGGATGTGATGTAGTGATGTTGATGATGTATTTATAAGCCTAAACAACAATAAACAAGTTATTTACTGATGATGACACACAGCAACTTAGCATTTAGTTGAAGAGTTTGCTTCACCACAAAGATAATCACTAAACTGAGTTAGTTTGTTATGTTTAGAAAATKGTTTTAGTGGTTGAAGCCCAGGTGCAGTTAGATTTTTTAGGGGATATAAATAAGTAAATTCTTTATAAAAGAAATGAGCTGATGTAGCAACAACATTACTGACAGATTCCTCAAAGGATAAGAGGAGGGGAACTCTCTGGAGGATAAACATGACTGGCCTGGGAACGCAATGCACCCACAGGGAACTAACAACAGGACACACAGTACAAAGGAACACTAMGTTGGTAGAAATGACAAACACCTGAGGAGAGACAGCAGGATCAGGTGAGAGAGGGTGGGGCACGAGCAGGATGGGACTGAGGAGAAACTGAACTCGTGACACAGGGATCACAAGAGAGAAACAAGAGACGGATCAAAACCTGAACCTTAGAAAACTGTCACAGAGATAAAACTGATAACAGGTCCAGATCTCAAAACACAAGAACCCAAAACACAAAACATGAAAAAAAAAAATCAGTTGCAAAGATTAACTCAAGAAACTCAGTCAATAACTTAGAAACACAAATCACAACATACTTAAAGTTTTAAGTGCCTTGTCAGCGGGTTTCTGGCTCCTCACCTCTGTCGGTACCATGAAGCTCATCTTATTCTGAAAGTGTGGCATGTGGCCAACTTCAATAGTATGGTCCAAGTCAATTTTAACCCGGGCCAAGAATAGGCTCCTAAAAATCATGAACACTGTCTGTCATTATTAATCGGAAGATTTGCTCTTAATGTTTCTAAT